ACCTTGTGACAATCAGCAGTACCTACGGGGTAATTTCATTGAACGGGAAGACGAGAAACGGCCTTATTGATAAGATATTTTACTGAAAGCATGTGAACTGAACGCTTGACGCAAGGCATAACCGTTGGTGGTTTACACTATACCCGTTGGCCGTAGGCGGACAGTTGTGGAGCGAGCGTAGTCCATGGAGCACATGCTGTGCACGTGGGTGCCAGTCCTTAGATGGGCTCATTATTCGTGACTCGTACATCACTCTATCACGCTGTCGCTAACATCTGATCCCGTTCCAGCCGGATTAATATATTTGGGCCACTTGTAGCAATCATTGTGTTCCCTAACACTATATTCTGGTCACAACATTGAAAACGGTGCTGAAAATACGAGATTAGTCTCTTTTAGCCTTAAATAAGCAGAGTTTGGATATTGTTTGAAATATATTAACAGAAAACAGATCCACATTGTTGATGAGCTCGAATGTTCAGTGTTATCGTAGATCCCAATTTAGACATTTCATCCAGAAGATTATCATTATTATACCATATTTCACACATGTCAGCATTTAGACTGTGTTAAACAAATCATAATGCAAAAGTCGTTACAACGAGGAAATCGGTCCGACAGATGTAGTTAATTTGCTTTCCTTAGAAGATCAGTGACGGATTAACACTGTATAAATAAGAGAATGAATCAGAAGGGAGCATAAACTGTGGTCCTGGGACGTACGCCATCAGAAAGACTAGAAACACCTGACGAAACACTGTGTTGTTCTCCAGGTCACAAAACAGACAACTATCGAAGGTGGTTGTCTCTCACGGAGACCATAGGGTTGTTATCTCATTACACTCAAGGATGAAGACGCTTGCACACAATTCTGTGCGGTGACCTGGTATGCGTGAAGGAGTCGAAAATGCGATAGGGAGAGCCAAGAAAACATACGCGTTGCCACTGACCCATTTATCGACTTGGTACTGTTAGGACGGAGCGCACGGATTCCGTCCGGCCACGATTCGACCCGCGTCACACCACAAGTGCATTCGTGACGCACAAGCCGAATCGATTGCGGATCGGATGACTAAGGTGAATCAGAGAGCTGTCGTCCGATCGACCAATCGGAGTATCAAAGTCGCAACCTGATTGGTGCGTCATCACGTCGTTCTCGTGCACCTGATTTACCACTTATATTTGCGTATTGCTCCATGATCAATAATATACTGTCTGTCGCTTCTCAGCCGTGTTCTCTCTCTCCAATTGTTGGGGGCCACTCAAGAGGCGCTCATATCGATCATACGTCTTGGCAAGACATAACAAGTACACTAGACCCAGAGACTCGTACCCACACTGATTACAGGGAACATGTGGTCGGAATGGTGCTCTTCGCAACAGTCGATGTACATTCGAAATGGATTGAAGATAGAAAAAACAAGGTCAGTATCCAGTGGATTGGTCAATGGTATGATGCAAACTACGGTTGAATCCCATGAAATCCAGGATGCTGTGCGGTGTCTTCAGACGAGCCGTTCCGAGTATTCCTTGGGCAGTGGTATAATTGGTGCAATAATAACCCTTACACCCAGCCTCGAATGATTTGGAAGGAGTGATTGCGACTGGCGATGCGAAAGCGAGGTGCACTTCAAAATAGGCCTGAACAGGTATTTTCTATAAAACCAGATTGAACCACACAGTGTAGCACGAAAATCCTCCTGTGAGCTACTGATGCGGGGCGGGGGTCACGCACCCGGCTAACTGTCAAGCGGTCCGATCTGCAAACAAGAAACGGCCCACTAGTGTTAGACTATTTTGAAAATCAACGTAGATGTGCGTTCACATTGGTGAATTTGTAATGAACAAGATTAGTTTGATATCGATCTTTAGCCTTCAAATAAAACCTGGGTAACCTGTTTCGTTATTTCCGGTCGCAGTCAAATGACTGAAACATGTTCGGTGGATGCAAGGACGATGCGTCCGCATTTGGGTCAATTTAGAAGGTATAGGGATGATAGCACTGACAAAACCGACCAAACCAATTCCGTGTCACAGCATCCGATGGATTGAGAAGGTTGTTGTAGTAGTATGAACTCATTGAACTTAACTTGGCTACGATTAATCTGGCGGTAGAGGGATGTCACACTATACTGATTGCATTTTGGTAGCTCGGTGCATGCGGTTTATCGTTTGATCCTGTGCCAAGTGGACGTAGATTGAATATACTTTTAACCAAAACATGTGCTTTCTCTCTCCACGTTCTTACTACTGCATGAGGTAGGAGATTACGTTCACAGACTACTTTTTCCGCAGGTTGCAGTACCCATTGCTCACAAAAACTGGTTGAAACCTGACTGACCGCTACACGTATGTGACGAAAATAGAGGACGTTTATCTCCGGAGAAATTAGGGTTTCAATGAACTATTGGTGGGTAGCCAGTAGCGGGTTATGATCGAGAGATCGATAAGGATCAAGGCCATGGTACAAGGTTGTTCTGCATTTTATTTGTTCAAACCAAAATGGGCACAGACATGTGCTAATGCACAAACTCTCACGTTTGAAAAAACACATCAGTGCGAGGTAATATTTTCCCGGTGAATATACAGTTCATTGTTTGAGGTGATATGAAGTTTGCTTTGAGAGATTTCAAGTGAGGTTTATAATCAGAATAAACCAACGTTAGAGGAATTCGCTATCGAAAGATTCTGCATTCAAAGGATTCCGAAAACTATCTTTTAATTATTTCATGCAACCAATTCCTTTTAATCAAACGTGATACGAATGTATGTACACAGCTGATGAAATTACCACGAAATAGTTCAATTCAACACATCCTGCGATCATGATGCTCCTTCTTGCTCTCATTTTAATTATTTATTGAAGAAATTTGATTAGAAGCTTTTCCCTCTCCCTATTTTCTAGTATCCATTTGCATGGACTTCGATCGTCGAATTTGTCTGCACCCATCTTGTTCGTGAGATTTGATAGAATCCTCAGGTATGCTCTACGTTTTTATCGAATTTCCTTCCAGGTTTGATTAACGATACTTATGAATACTTGATTATTTCTAATGACATTCATTCTGGGGTGCCAATCCTTGATTTCTACTGTTCACTGATAAAAAACACTTACATTGTGCCCAGGGATACAGAGTAACTCATCAGTTGCGGTTACTTCACATCATGTATTTGATGTTGTAAATTACTTCACACAGAGTAAACATGTTTTCATACATAACGACCTCGGCCCTGTGTGTGTAGCGGATAGATAGTCGTCATCGTAATTATCATAACAATTGAATCAAACCGAGGCATTTGGCAACCACTATTTTCAGAGAATATTTGAACCCAAAAAAACACGTAATCTTCTCAGTGGGTAGACGTTGATTCTTGCAGTCAGCCAAGGAACTGATGATGTTCAGTACACTTATTGTTCTGTTTATTCTCAACATGAACCCTTTCCTTGATGAAACCGGCTCAATGTCGGGGTCTAATGAAACCGTGCAAATTTTGAACACGGAAATGGATATTATCACCGACACATAAGATGGGCGGGGGAAAAGTGAGCACTGCANACCAACCTAAACAGGCCATGCAATACGCTCATGATATTTCAGTTGGGCGGAAAACATTAGCAAGGATGAAGACGAGAAGTGACAGAACTAATAAAGCTCTCCAATTTTCTCGCTCAATTAACCAGCAACATATTTCATATCTCACATATGTACAAGACCGATTCATTGTCTATAACGCGGTCTATATTTTCCATTGGGTTGGTGGTATGGGTTGCCGTAACTGTGAGATTCATCCCATCAGCTGTGTGGCGTTGTAAAACCAGAGATGATCAACACCGGGCAGACTAAAAACGCGACGAAGTACCAACCGGATTCATCCACAGGCGTATCCGTTTGATGAGATTGAGATTCGATATGAAACTCGCACTGATTTCGAAAACCACTTAACTAAGTATATCTTGCGGAAGTGCATCGAAAACCGAACAGATGCAGATAGCGAGTGACCACACGTATGTGCCTGTGCTGGTTCATGGCATCTTGATGCTCGCCGTCACGAATCGGAATTTAACCCCAAATTGACCACAAATCCTGTCTGCAGTTCATCAGACTATTGCTCATGTCTACTACTTATATCACAATCTGACGGATAGCAATAGCAATCCAGTGCGATGAAGACAGAATCATTTTAACACGGCGGCAGCTGCGGAGGCGAGGCGTGCGAAGACCATGCCCCACTTCGTCTAATCTTTTGAGGCAATCGGTAGAAGTTTCAGTGCATGAATTTACCTAGTCTATTGCATTCCAGTAGTAGTTGTATGCACTGTCACTTTTTGGATAAAACTCGACCCAGATGTAAAAATAATAGCACAGTCCAATGGAACACCACGACACACAATCAAACCAGAGCATTTAGCTATTCGTTTGGGAAGCGTGCCAAAAACCACTAGAGAACGAGGGATTTCTCGACAGGGAGAAAACGTTTTCGTGGATATTGGGAGGAATACCAATTATTTCTTATCACTCCAAAAAGTAGGGATTCAGGTACCGCTTAGATTTTCCGCATGTTTTGGTTCCGTAGTTCCACGTATACTTCGCATGTCGATTCTGTCAGAATCAGGAACCTTTTGTGTTTATTGGTTATGGGGAAATTAAAATTACGCATAGTTAGATAAACGTTTTCGTACATGAGGTAACACCATATGTACGCCTCTACATCCACGATGTTCTCGCAGATCTCCGAGTTTGTGTGCCAACATACTACTAATCTTGGCGAACTTATATTCAGTAGATAACGAAAATGGGAGCAGACTATGTCTTCTTCGATTAAGATACCATTGAAATAGTACTTATCGCCTGTGAAGAATTGAATAAATGTTTCGTTTTCGAAGCCGGAAACTAGACATCGCATAATGCAAGCTTTTTCCAGCCGCTTCATATATCCATTCCCGATAAGTATCTACACAGTGGGAAAGCGATTTGGCAATGCGAATAGAAATGCGGATATTAATCACTGACCTTGTGCACACCGTTGAAACTCCTCTCTGTGATTGGCAAACGTAGATAGCCCTTTTCTTGCTGTGGAATTCCAACAGTGATACACAAATAGTCTTTTCGTATCCATCGTTTAGCAAAGGCCTCTTGCAAACGTAAAGAAGTGTCAGTGTTCCTGAGTGAGATGAAAGGAAGTGGACGCAAACCAGAGGATGTATAATAATCAAACCGAAGACATTTCAAATCAACCACAATTATGTAAAGATGTCAAAAAAACATTCAACGCTGATAAACATTAGAACGAGAGTGGTGATGTATCAGGGAGGAGCGCCTGTTATTCTAAACATATCTGGTTTCAACCAAGTTCTGACAAAACACGCGAACAGTATTCGAGTGTGCAGCTTTGATAGGAACCAGTTAATCTATATTCAAACGATCTGCACTTCAGTGAACTTCAGCGCTATATTGATATTACATACTGGATAAACACTTCGTGCGAGCGCATCACAGTACAGCATCGAATTCGCACAAACCATGCAACGGAAATCGAGCACACATGATTATCATATGCGTACTCGAAGATGTCGCTTGGATTAGCATTGACCTCGATAGAGAACCAATTGGAATGGAGAGGGGCGGGTGTGACAAGCGGGCCGCGGGTGGACTGTCTCAGGTTGATGCGTTTGTATGCGTGTAATGGTATCGTTAATTCGGTCAAAGACGCGTGTAAACGGCACGTATTTTACTGCTACTGCTACTGTTCAGTTAATCAATATAAACCCAAGCGCGTTCACCACGTCTGGAACCTTATGTTGTTTAGTCCATTAGAGCCGGCAGCCACAGTAGCTAAGAGCATTTGTGCACGGCGACATTAGACTAACCGAGCAATCAGCATTAACCCGGAGCATTCTTTATCCAAGCGATGAACGATTTGATAGCCCGCATCGTCCACTCCTATCGCAGTGGGATGTGTTCGTGCCAAATGTGCGATTCGGGGTAGCAGCTGAACGACACTGTATTTGTGACCGGGACCAGCTAAAAAGGCAAGAAAGCACGACATAAGTGCATATCAGTCTCCCCCCTGAGGGAAATTTCAAAAATGAAATAAATTCAATCACCTGGATGTGTGCTTAATCTGACCGATAACTGAATAAGACAACCACACTACATTTGATTTTGGTCATGGATGGTCGTTTAAGTTTGGGAAAGTGTAGACTGAGAAGAATTTCAAATCCCGATCATTCTACACTCTAGCTGTGCAACATTCAGGTAACAGTCGCATACGAGAAGGTAAATTAGCTTCACATAGAAAGCTGGGAAATTCGAAAAGCAAAATGGAACCCTCAAAAACCCTCGTTTTTTATTCGAGAATGTGCCTCTATATAATGCATAGCCCTGTGCGATCACAGACCAGACTTGCAAAAGAGACGACAATTTCGGTACCTAATTGTTGAGGTAGTCTACAGAGGTTTGCAACCGTTTATCCAATTGTTCACTGGAAGGGCTGTTCCTTCATGTGACTTGGTGACGCAACTAATTGCTTACAGCTCCGCTGGCTGCGGGCCGCAGGAATCGAGTAACGATGTCCAGAGCGGACTATGAAGTCTTGCATTTATTCGGTTTAAACCACAATTACGAAGATCCAGAGACGCTAAATTTGAAGACAACATAATCGGTTTGCATTGTTTTGGGGATGTGGAAGACCAAGACGATCTGTAGCTTGTCGAAAGTCAGCATTACATTTTCAATACAAAGTGGATAACAAAAGCTGTTTGAAGTGAGGAGACGAAACCAGAACACCGCCAAGGTCTGGTAACAAAACAATAGTCATATGCCGAGCGCATGAATTTGTACATCGGAAAATTATTCCGGACAGAAAGACGACCTATTGGTATTAGATCAGCAACTGGGACAGTTATTTTGTAATTCAAAGTTTCGGTCGAATGTGAGTTGGCTGCTGAATGCCCACACGGTGTGTCACACATCACACATGTATTGGTACAGACTGCGTTTCAAACAGGTTATGCGACCAGCGTCGTTAGATGAAAGGAATCGGCTAGTGCGTGAAATATTGCCAGGCCGACCAAGCTGAAGTAGACGACCGTCCTAGTGACTTGACCGGAGAAACAGCCAGGGGAGTGGGGACATGTATGTGTGTTTACACAGGCCGGTGTCAGAGTAGATGAACTCTAAGATGCTGTTCACAGAATGTAAAATTACGTCATGGAGGCCTGTGGTCCGAGTGTCACACGGTCCAAATCAAGAAAACCAAGCACTTATTACTTGACCAGTTATTTGCCTTCCGGATTATCAGAGGCTTTTCGAAGCCGATGAAGAACCTAGTGCAATGAAGCTACCAATTACCAGAGAACAGGCTGATTGAAACAAAACAGTCAAATAAGTGTAAGCATTTGTCTCTAAGAGATTGCCTGGTTGTTATAAATAACCAGTCATGTAGGAAGAAAACGATTAATTCCCACACAACAAAGGCTTCGTTCACACCTCTAGCCTCTCCCTTAGGTTTGCACAACAGTTTCACTTCTGGATGAAGCACAATAACCATTTTTGAGCATTGATCAGGCAGTCAAATGAAAGACGTGAGTGCGAAATTTCTACATCTTATCTGTCGTTAAATCCCTCCGTTTATCAAGTTGCAACTTATTTATCCGGACTATTAACCTGTTGGACTGTGTTATCGTAAAGTTTTAGGTTCACGCGTCTATGTGTACTAGCAACTCTGAGATCGGTGAACACTGTTTCAACCAAACCAAACCAAACATACGTGCACCGGGGATTTCAACCGGTCCAGTCAATGCTAACTGATGTCCATAGCACTGCGTATGGAAGATCACCTGCTCCCGGTTGCTTCTGCCCTTCCCCCTCCTCCTCGCCCTGATGGTTTTCTTTGTGGCTCTGAGCACGGATTCCGCAGTTTGAAAACTGTTTAGCGAACTGCAACTAGGTGCACTCAGAACGCCTTGTACTGACCTTTCTTTATACAGATGTTAAATTTAGAGACAGGCTATCAGCTCCTTCTGCTTATTGCAGACGCTACACTATTACTGAACGTCTATTTCGTTACATTCCGTAATAATACTTCTGCTAAAGTCGTTCATACGATTGTTAATTGCGTGCTTACATTACCCCTACCCACTGTCATTTCCTGAGGAAAAAATCGGGCAAAAAGATCAATGGTGTCGATATCTATTGATCATCAAGTTCTATCTACTAAAATATCTTAGGCCGCACATATTCCACAGTTTTTAGCAAAAATAAAATTTAGAAATATTGCGCTACAAAAGTAGTATACTCGTGAGTTTCAATTCAAACAACACAAGTTTAACGTGCAGCGGTAGATCCTCTTCAAAAACTTGACATCATTTTCGGGATACATTCCATGCTGTTTCAATCTCAACCATTTCTCGTCAGAGCAACTCTGGAGGGTTAGAAATAGATCGTGGGTTCAAGCCTCACATCAAAATGGAGAGCAGTATTCGGGACGGTGTATACATACACATATATATTTTTATTTTACACAGGTCTGATTGCAGACTGTGCAAACAAATCACGGCACAATGGTTTTCATAATAAGCCATCAAGAGGAGACTGTGCCTTGACGTGGTTTCATAACAGTTAAGCAGTGAAAGATCACGTCGCCGCCACAGGTGTTCAAGTCCTGCGTACGCTGCTCGAGCCTTGGAAATGCGAGTGGTTATCTCCTTTGATGCCCTACCGTCGTTAGTCACGCAGCTACCTAAGTACGAGCAGTCAACTTCAGCTAATTCCTGACCGTCTAGTTTCAGAACGGAACTCGACAACACCCAATCTTGCAGCATCAGTTTGCACTTTGCAGGTGCAAAGCACATGCCGAACGGAGAGACAGAACTTGCTAATATGTCAAGTTCTCTTCGCGCATCCTCCATAGATTCAAACAGGCAAACGATGTCGTCAGCGTACTCCGAATCGCACAGCTTTTCTCCAGCTGCCCATCACGACGACACTGCACCTTGACGTGGTGTGATCGCTTGTGCACCTCTCTGACCCAACGAGCTATACAGGATGGCTTTTGTCAAGTCGCAGACCTAATCATGCCTGGAAGGTCAATGGCTAGAGAATGAACGAAGTCCAGTCTCCTAGTCCTCTAGGTTGGGGGTTCGACTAGAATTTGCGTTTCAGTCGGTAATAAATAGTGGGAGTAATTGATCCAAGTAAATGGGCCTCCTCTTCGCTTCACCCGCTGCCTTGCGGTCAGGTTCTTGTTAGAACTAAAGGCTTTGGTTGAGAACCCTAATCGTTCTCTTGCTTAGTGGCTGGACACCCTAGCAGTACCCGTTCATCAAGCCCCAATGCATATGCATCGCGAGTTTGCCAGCGATTAGTGACGTTCGCCTCACTCTATTTCGCTGTACGATGATGATGATACTGAGCTGCCCATTCAATACCTACATTTTGGAGACCACTTAGTGTGTTCTCCAGTATTTCGTCTATGACGAAAATGAACGGCAATGGCGAAAGAGGGCACCCTTGACGAACACCGCTGCTAGTTACGAATGACCCACTCAGGTCACCGTAGATCCTTACACTAACAGACGTATGTGGGTAAAGTGAACTCAGAATGTTCACGTACTTCTGTGGCATTCCTTTAAGAAGGAGCGAACCCATAAGGGATTCGCGGTCAACTGAGTCGAAGGTTCTTTTTAGGTCAAAGAACACGATAACCTATTTCGTCTGTTCGCCGAGCTTGGCAATTTGTGTGCAAACGTTTCATCACCAGCCGAGGTGACATCATGAGTGCCTGTGAAGTGGAAGGCCACTTTACAAGCACTGACAATCGAGTGGTGCAGCTTCGGCTGTATTCATGAGTATAATACCCACACCAAGCTGACCTACTGAGCGGGCCTCGTCATCACTTGAAGCGCAGAGGAAGAACCTCGAAGACAACCCCGGTGAACTAAAGTGGCTTATAGTAATAGGATCCTGGATTCGCGTCTGCGATACGCAGCAGACATCAATCCCCAGAGTCCATTGTACGCGCGAGACACGCTTGTTGACCTACCTGCATCAGAGTCCTCACATTGAAAGTCCCCAGATTCACTGTTTGACGAGGCTTCAGAATCTGCAATCTATTTTGGGGTAAACTACTCACCGGGCTACTTGGTGCCGAACGTCGGCAAGCGACGAACAAGTTGTCTGAGGGAATGTTACGGGTTGGAAGAAGAGGTAAAGGGAGAGGGTCGGGAACGGAAGACAAAAAGTTAAACAAAGGTTGGGATATCTGAGCAGTAGCCTACTTATCACTACCCACCCCGCTCGATGAAATTTGCAGCGCAGTCCGGATTATCTTGCACGACGATTGATGCAGTACGGAATTATTTTTTGTGTGTCTATGCATTAGAGTTTGATGGACGGGTACTGCTAGGATGTCCAGCCACTAAGCAGGAAAACGATTAGAGTTCTCAACCAAAGCCCTTAGTTCTTACAAGAACCTGACCACAAGGCAGCGGGTAAGGCCCATTCACTTGGATCAATTACCCATCTGCGGTTTATCCGGCTGTCTGTGAACGGTCGAGTGTATGCTGCAGTAGTTCGGCGAGTTCTGCTACATGGCGCAGAAACTCGGTCATTAAGGAGGCAGGTTAATGATAGACTGTCGACGTTCAAACACCGCTGTCTACGCAGCATTGCACGATTCTTATGGGGCAGCCGGACCAGCAATGCTNCTGGGGTTAGGCGCAGAGTTTTAGGTAAATGCGGTCGCCCATTGAAGCAACTGGTCGATCTTCATAGATTACGTTGTTACGCATGTCACCAACTAGGTTGCCAAGGCAAGCGATGTTCGTCGAGGCAGGCAGGGGGTGGAAGAAAGTCAGGGGTGGTAAAGCTAAAACCTGGCATGACGGTATGAAAACCCTAACCAGGAGTCTGGGTCACGTAGGTTCAGTTAGGCTTCGTGGATGGGGACATCGGGATGATCATACCTGATGGTTAGAGACACTGAGTGATATGGCTGTGTCGTAAACAATGGCGTTCGTGCATCTTGACGACTTCATTGCAACACAAGTCCACTTAAATCCTTGATCATGCTTTCAACCTTTCCTGTCCTTCTTGTGTTCATCCAAATGGGCAGCCAAAACTGGCGCACGATAGTGCATGGTTAATGGTTGTACAAACTGAACTGAAACTTTTATAAAAAGAGAAAGTTCTATGACCTGCTTGTGGGTCGAATATTGCCAGGGTCACGGCGGTTATGTATTCCCCAAGAGAATTCACATGCTTTGGCTTGGACAACCGGCTAGTATTGCATCCACAAACAAATTACTTCCTTCCATGATTTGCTTGTAGGCGTGATACCGCTAGGTTGCCCAGGCCAAAGCAAGGGAATTCACAACCGGCATCTTTGGTTAGTCCAAACCTGACTTGTAAGGCAGCGGGGCGTTTGTGAAAACCGCGCTCCATTGGGGACCGGTGTCCAGATCATCGGATCATATCCCCTTCGGACAGGGTCATACCTCTGAGGTGCACAATGAGCCCCGATACCCAATCGAGGCGACGAACACTACCACAACCAGGAAGGTGTGGGTGGGCGTGGTTCGTATGCCCCTTCTTCGTTGGTTTGGACCCAGAGTGAACTGCCAATGGTTCATCAACCCGATTATTGCCCCAAATACCGGAATTGAGTAGGGCTTACTTAGCATAGGCTATCTGAGACGATGGTCGTGTCTGGGCTTTCCACGAGGTGCGATGGAGGGGTGACCGACCGCAAACCAAGAATCCAACCCGACACAGTATAATGTGCTACACACATATAGCGATCACCACACGGGGAAATGTGAATTAGCGACCCAAGGAAACTTTCAGAAAATGAAAAGTGTAGGTTTATACGGTTGGTCTCTTGTTCCGCGAGGCATGAGTCAGTGGATTGAACAATACAAGGAATCCCCCCCCCAAAAAAAAAAGTGCAATGGATGAAACAAGAAAATTACAGGCAAAATAGGGCTTGCAACTAGTCCAGTAGAGAACCGTTCATTGTGATTTGAAAGTAGCTTTACATGGTCCGATAACTGGAAATGCGCCTACTTCGGTGATGGATATAAACCCACCTTGGATAGATCGGGTGTGTGGAATCGCCAAGGGAAGAGTTCACATACGGTGTGGGTGCATTTGCGACTTACAGATGGAATAACTCAGATGTTCTGCACAGCTCGGATCACAAAGCAATGAAGAATCCTCGAGGCTGTACTGTAACGTGACATTTAAATAAACCGAAGGCTTAACTTGAGGCTGCTCTGAAACGGGAGTGGTTATCTATCGATAAAGTGGTGTTTTGGAATTTCAAACGGGGTTTACCGAAAGGTGTGTCAAGGTTTCTATGTGCACGATTGTCAATCATAATTTCATTAGTGGGCCGTTAGTAGTCGGTCGTACACCTCATGTGATCGTAGTCAAAGTGACAGACACACGTGAGCTCTACACGTCCGTATGCCATAATCAAAGGAACAGGCGTTATTCACTAACGGATGGGGAAAAATCACACAGGCACACACCCTAGGGCAGATAAAGGCTGCAATATAAATTGGATTGATATGCAGTGCATCTTAGGGTCAATAGGCCACATATCAGCTCATAACTCCTATTTTTAAATCCGTGTTTAACCTCACCAACTATAATGGGAATGAATGATGTGTCGCGGTACTGCTTCGCATTTCCTTCTCAAGGCCTCTCTCGGGCTCTTGAGATCTCGAATTCCTCTACTTCTTCTACTTAAGTAACCACAACTGCTTTTCATCCGTATTGTGATTCAGCGAGCAGGCTGACCAAGGGAAATAGGAAATTTATTCGTGTAGTTTATAATTGGATACACACCGAGTGTAATTCAGCGGGATCCATCTACTCGTGGTGAACATCTGAGGGAGATGACTGCTCAAACAGGTGCAGTAACAGGCCTCAGTAACACATTCAGCCAGCAGAATTCGGGCCATTTTGTTAATGATCTTTTAGCGTCAGCAGCTATCGCGCATTCATTCATGGTCTCATCGTCCTTTGCAAAACAGCGAATCCAGGAGCTCAGAGTTGTCAAACCCATACTGTGTTCTCGCAGTCCGTCACCGTGGCTTTCCATATCTGCACATTCGTATAAACTACCAAAGCCGAGCGATGTTATTTATGTCTAAGACCTGTTTGAGATAGTTGCGCGCTCCAAGGAGTGAGTGACGTCACTTCCGGTAATGGTAGTCGGCNGATAGCTTAGTTAACTGCTTAACTCACGGGACTGTCCTCGAACGATCAAAAGACTGGACGTTGAACAATTTCATTGAAGCTGTGTAAATCTAAGAGGTGGGAGTATACTTTTTCCGTATGTGTATGTGAATAGCAACGTGCACCGTCAGCAACTATAATATTTGACTTACCGTGTGAAGCGATTCCCGGAGGTTTATTCAAGACTAGGATATTGTCTGAAAACAAATGAAAAGTAGGAACCATCAAGTGGTTACCTATTATTGAATCGGTTAGCGACCTTACCCAGCTTCCATTCACGCAGTTGATTAGTCATCTGTCACTTGTCATTGTTTGAACCCATGCAAATTATCGATCACCCATCACCTCGTGATAAACCACGTGCTTCCTGTTCATCACTAATGGCCCCCTTGCTTTGTTCGAAAACGAAACTCGTATGATCTCAACCACTCTCGTGACAACAGCTCCTAACCCGGATATGACTCTTAATTGTTATCTGATTGTCGTCCCGGTTTGCTTGATCTTATTCTTATAGGTCCTCTGATTCACCCATGGGTTACATCAACTCGCTTGCACGTGTGCAGTCTGAAACTGCTCTTCACTTGACTGAGTGATGAACTCCGTCATTCTCACGTTCGATATGATTCACTTCGAATTATACTGTTTGGCAGATTACGGAAGACAACTG